GGGTCCCCTCCAGCGTCTTTCAGACCTCCCCACCCCCTCTCCCCACCCCCTCTCCAGCCCCCAGCCCAGCACCTCGCAGCCTGACTTCAGGCAACAAGAACCCATGTGCTTCTCCAGACTTCCTTGCTTCTCACACGCCCTCTGCATCTTTGCACATGCTGATCCCGCCCACGGCGCCCTAACGGGTCTGTCCAGAGCCCAGCAAGGCCTCCTGGGCCTGCGTTTCCCTGCTCACGCTCCATGTCTCTCCGACCCCAATGTCCTGTGCTCCCCCTCTTGTAGGCTGTCACCTCACTGGACTGTGCCTGCCCCGCCCCAGCCTGGAGCCGTTTCTGAGCCATCGGTGTGTCCCCAGGGCTGACCAGCAGAATTCGTGAGCCCAGTGCACAGTGGGGGTGGGGGGGAGGCTCGAATGTGGGGAGCCCCTCATCGCTGCAGGTGCAGACAGGTAGTTAAAGCACGCACCCTCGAAGGCAGGGCTACAGGTAGCCGGCAGGCCGGCACCGCCAGCGACGGCCCAGCCCCACGGTGCGGCCAGTTAGAGCCACACTAGGGCAAGGAGGTGGCCTGGGGGAGGCTGGGCTTCCGGAAGGCCTGCTGAGAAAGTGCCGGGCGGTCAGCCTGCAGCCCCCCAGAGGCTCTGTCTAGAGCACAGGCGAGCAGGAGAGGCGGGAGTGCGGCCTGGAAGTGAGACATACCAGAGTGGAAATCAGCCGTGGGACGGATCTGACAGTCCCTTGTGGAAGCCGGCCCGGGGCTGCTTGACTCCTACGGCGATGGTGAACTTAACTATCCCCAGACAATGACAGCTGCTGGAGGGGGTGGTGAAAGCCACACCGATGGGCCTTCATGCCAGGCGGGGGTCCGCCCTTCATTCCGCAGACAAGGGAAACCCGCTGCCAACCTCACCGCAGGGCCACGTTACCGGGTCCACATCTCAGAAGCATCAGGGTCTGGCTGAATACAGTGAGCTCACTGCATGATCCGGGCCCTTCCTCCCGCCCCAAATCCCTAGAAAACGGCACTAAATATTTCTCTGCCAGTTGGTCTTCAGCAGTATCGTAAGGTAAGAAGGGCCGTCCTTCGCAGACCTGAAACCATCAGGCATCTGCGAAAGGTGGACGGCAGAGAGAACCCACGGAGGGGGGCAGGGCTGGCTACCGAGCGCGAGGCCCTCCTAGGGAGGTCTGTGTGACTGCGAAGGTCTAACCAATGTCCGTAACGCTGCCAGAGCAGAGAGGAGGCCACAACCTCAATCTTGCAAAGGAACGTCTGTGGCCAGAGGACAGGCCAGTGCGGGGGCGGAGAGCGGGCTCCTGGATGGAAAACAGGGGAGCAAAGGAAGCAGTGTAATGGCCTGGGCGTGCGTGGGCCCCGCCCCCCCGAACACCCGCTGTGCCAAGCAGAGGCATCTGCCCCGGGTGTGGGAAGGGCTGAATGTTGGAGGCACGGGACAGCCCAGGAAGCTGAAAACACCAAGAAGAATAAGCTAGAAGCTCTGTCACCCTCCCCAATAATTAGATGGCAGCCGTTTGCGAAAACTAGACGCATCACATCACCCAGAGACAGGCTAAGGGGGAAGGGCAGATACAAAGCGGGGTACACGGTCAACTTCACTCAATATTGGAGGAAAGCTAAGTGTGGAAAAAAGAGGCCAAACTCAGTGACTGAGGGAGGGGAAATCCAGGAAAATGGATCTGTGGGCCTCTCGCCAGTTACTGGCCTAATAGCCAATGGCTATCAGAGGTCAGCAAGCACCCGAAGGATCTAAAAGGGTAGTTAAATCACGGATTCACCGAGTCTGGGCCGGGCTCCAAAATTCACACTTCTGACCACTTTCCGAGCGGTCCAGGGACCACTCTTTGAGAACCACATCACCTAGACACAGGCATCAGCTGGAGTCCAGGAGGAACTATGGGAAAACAGCCCTCTGCAAAGTTGAAGTAGGAGAAGCCGGTCGGGACACCTGTGCAGAGACCGCTTCCCTCCTGTCAGTAAGAATGTGGCCTTGGTGACACTCCCTGTGTTTCTAAAACAAGTTTGTCCCTTAAGCGACAGCTCATAGCCTGTTAGCATAAATTATTCTGAAAGACATGTGTAAACCCCGAGCATAGAAGATTAACAACTGTGGCAAGGACTGAGTGGAATCTCTCCAAGGAGCGCCAAGTTGTTCAACAAATGGAAACCCACCGCAGTAACAGAAAAAGGACAAAACCCACACAATCATCTCAACAGATGCGGAAAAGGAATTTGGCAAAATCCGACACCTTTTCGTGATAAAAGCATTGATCAGACCCAGAATAGGAGGGAACTTCCCTGACCAGATAAATGACAACTCCAAAAAAACCCCAAAGACAAAAACAAAACAAAACACAACCAGCTAACAAAATATTTAATGGCGAAAGATTGAAAACTCTCCTGAAGATCGGGAACAAAATGTCAGCTCTCAGCATTTCTGTTCGGTATTATACTAGAGATTCTAGCCAGGGATGCCAGGCAAGAAAAGGAAATAAAAAGGCATCCAGGTTGGAAAGGAAGAAGGAAAACTACCCGTTGGGAGTTGATATGATTTTGTACGTAGAAAATCCTAATGGGGCACCTGGGGGGCTCAGTCAGTTAAGCGTCCGACTTCAGCTCAGGTCATGATCTCACAATGTGAGTTCAAGCCCCGCGTCGGGCTCTGTGCTGATGGCTCGGAGCCTGGAGCCTGCTTCGGATTGTGGGTCTCCCTCTCTCTCTGCCCCTCCCCTGCTCACACTCTGTCTCCCTCTCTCTCCCTCTCTCGCTCTCAAAAATA